CAGGCAGGCAGGCAGACAGACAGGCAGACAGACAGACAGACAGACAGACAGTCCTGTTTCCTCACACACTAAAACAAAGAAATATAGTGTCTCTGTCCATGGTGCTGAAGTCCTACAGGTGTGTATAGTGTCTCTGTCCATGGTGCTGAAGTCCTACAGGTGTGTATAGTGTCTCTCTCCATGGTGCTGAAGTCCTTTAGGTGTCATCAGTGTCTCTGTCTATGGTGCTGAAGTCCTTTAGGTGTCATCAGTGTCTCTGTCTATGGTGCTGAAGTCAGCTCTCATTTATCGATATGAAACCACACCTGGTCCACTGATGTGATGGATTACACACTGCATGCACACACACTGACCGGATTACCACAGTAAGGTTGGGCGTTCAGTTCCCTGTCTGTCAGGATTAATCACACATTAGTACTCTGGCACATCAGAGGAGGAATCACAGGTCAGACTCAAGAAAATGTGTTTACGCTTTCACAGAGAAGGTGGACGGAGAGTGACAGTGCAGCGAAGGGAACAGCGTGGGCGACCGACTACCACAGAAAGAGAAAGAGACAAAGAGTATGTTCCACTGACTGTGTGTACCTCTCTCGCTCATTTTCAGCTGTGGATGAATAATTTGTCGTTCCACACACCGATGCACAGCATTGGGTTCCGCTTGGTTCAGTATTTTGCTCAAGGACACTTCAACATGCAGGAGGAGGGGCCGGGGATCGAACCTCCAACCTTCTGATCAGTGGACGACCGGCTCTACCTCCTGATTCACAGCCGCCTCAGCAGCCTCAGTCTTTAGAGGCAGACCATTAAACTAGCAAAATAAAACTACAAAAAGTATCTGATATATTCGTCCCATCGCCCAGCCCTAATCCCGAGTCTGTCAAGCTAGTCCCGAGTCAAGACCGACAAGTCCTGAGTAGGGATGTCACGAGAACCGATACTTCGGTACGTCAATGACAACGCTTTGAAAACGTGATGGTCCTCGTTTTTCTACAGTACCATAAGTACCGTAGGTACCCGACCTGACGGAGCTCTTCCTGTGACTGTCACACTGCTCTGCAGTGAAACAGAGAGACAGGTACTCTCTGGCACAGGTACGGTGTTTATGTTACCAGCGACAGATAACAGCAGTGAACACATCAGCTGTTGCCGACGTCATTCAGGACCATCGTTTTCACTCCGTCGTTAACAACGAGTCTGCTCCACACGCGGCTTAAAACAGAATCGTATCCAGAGTCGAGTCTCGACTCAACACAGGTAAGTAAGTTATGGCGAACGGGGTTTTGCTGGTAAAGAGTCAAAGTCGTAGTTTTGAGGCTAATAAATAATTTGATGCATAGAAACATATTCACTGACACCCAACAGTATTTTATTCTGAACTCTCGCCATGAACTAAAGCGTTGGACACATTCAGATGTTGAGCTGATAATGGCGCTAAATAAAAAGTAAAAAAGAAACTAAATAAAAAGAACTCATTCAGTGGCCAAAGAGTCACGAGATAATACGTCGGAAGAGGAGGAACCAAACAAACAAAAACAGTTTTTAATCAGACAAGTGTGTGTGGAACAGATGATATCGTGTGACCGACTGTCTGAGCACTGGGTTAATGTGACACCTCTTCAGTTACACCGATTCCATCTTTGTGGCTCTAAACTCAAACACAGAAGCACTCAGAGGAAATTAATTTGCATCCACTCGACTGTTTGACGTTTTATAAAGTCATTAGAGCAGCTGAGAGCTTTCAGAGGCTCTGACAGGCCGTCAGCAGGAAGGAAGGAAGATGAAATGCAGCTAAAAGAGAGAAGCTCTCAGCAGCCACGACTCCATTACAAAGCCGCTCTCTTCAGTGGGAACCGTTCCTAACAGCAGAGCACACAGAAGGTTTAAAGCTCGGGACAGAAGGTTGAGCTTCAGTTAACCTTCAGTCAGTTCAGTAATGTGATCTTGTTAAATCACTGCTGGGATTCTGGTTGTAGGTCCGAGTCTGTCCTTAAACTAAAGGCGGGACTCATTTATGTCCACAAACAAAGTCCAACAGGTACCATGAAGCAGAGGTTGTTCTTAAGTCCCGAGTAGAGACACACAAGTCAATACCAACAAGTTCCAAACTCTAAGTTTCCAGTCCGTTCAGTAATGTAACGTCGCTCTCTCTCTCTCTCTCTC